AAAAAGCTCAACTTGACCACTACTATAATTCTGAACATAGAGCTAAACTTTAACTGTAAAAGTTTCCAAATAATATGCATATTATCAACATAATTAGAAAGTACAAGTCTATCATGTACAAGGATATGTAACATTACCGCTTTTATTGATTGGTAGGTTCAGCTCGAAATCCGACAACATCAGCAGCAAGAACATTGTTCATTGTCCTGTTCGTGTTGGCAGTGCTGACATATACAGCCTATTCAGCTAGTGTTATTTCATTACTATCATCTCCAAGCTCTGTAACCAACACACTTCAAGGTATCTTGCGCCATGGCTCCAAGATGGGACTTGCTCTCCTCAACATACATTACTACCACTCACATTTCAAGGTATTATATCAAGATGCCAACAAGCTACATATTTAAACACTTAACAAAATAATGGAAATATATGCATGTTCTAGGTTTGAATGATGCTACAACTGTACAGAGGTCATGTTGCATCAAACAAGTTCTGAGGACATTTACGAATGATGAACTAAGAGGTTCATGAAGTGCTTTCGATGAACTTCAGGTTCCATAACAGGGAGTTTCAAGGCATATTATCTATGGAACCTGTCAGTAGTTGGCTATGCTCAAGCAATCACTATAAACACTGGACTACAAGTTTGTGTATTTGCTGTTGGAAACTTTTGAAATTAACATCTGGGGAAATATACTTTAAAAACACTACAAAACAATGGATAAAACTAAGAGTCTGCATTCAGTTTTGCATTACATTATCTACATCATCAAAAGTCCACTTCTGCTTTTGCTAACTCTTACTTCACAAAATAATTTCCACATCCTGCCTTCTCAAACCTTTCCTTCTATACCTGTTTGCAGATTACTCTTATTCTGTCTATACTATCATCATCTGTCACACCTTCCAATATGCCATCTTGAATTTATAACAGTGTCTGAAGCTGCCTTTGATATTCTGTCCTACTGAACATGGTCAGATAATTCCAATCTTGATCTATCCTATAAAATATTAGCTGTCACACTTCTTATAGCTTCATTCCTTCTCATCTTTCTGCTGGTTACTCATCTCACTTCACAGGAACATCATCTTACTAGCCAATAGTTTACAGAAAGTTCTCTTAATCCATGCACATTTCAGCTCAAAATGCTAGTCTTGGTATAAAACAGTTTACATACAAAATGCTATGCCTTTTTCTGAATGTCGTATTTCTCCCACATTCCAACTGCTTTACAGAATGAAGATAATGCTGTTTCTCGCATGCTTCACAAGATTGAAGTTTCACCATCATTCTTGGAACTGGCTGATGGACTGGAATCCACAGTGAAGGTAAGTATTTTGAAGATTAAGAACAGTTTCTCTTGCAGTATAACTATTAAAACTTCAGTATTCACAGATCAAAAGCTAGGGAACCATACGAGGGCCTTATAACTGCAGTATGGAACACCAGAAGAATGACATTTTCAGCGCCCGAGATGTGAAGATTTGAACGGGAATTGTAACACAGTAACATAACCCACTACAAGGAATACATTACAAATTATGTGGTTATAGATAATGTAAAATGTGGTTGGACAAAAAATGACTTTGCTGTCATAGTTCTCTATTTCATTTTTGCCAAGAAAATGGGTTAAACTGTTGAATACAGATGACATGACAGAAGATAAACTTTATAATTTTCAATAAATTTTTGAACATCAATATACATGTCCACATAAGTGATGTCATTTCACATTCTGACTCATGAGAAATAATATGGGGATGATAGTATTAACAACATATATTAAAAGTAGTTACTGGCTGTGAAAAAATATTCACCCAAATTAATGTTTCTTTCAATCATTTCATTTATGAGCAAACTGAGCTTGTCTTTTATGTACATTTTTGTGCACCATTGTAACTTTTTCTGTGTTCTGGTAAAAGTAAATCATCTTTTACAGTTCTTCTAACACTGTTTAAAATCTCAATTATTCTATATGAAAAAGGACAATCTGCCAGCCACCTCATCATATGCATTTCAAGTGATATTGTATCATTCTGTTTCGCTGCCATATGTTACTAACTAGATTCACACACTGTCACTGCAACAATCATTAATGCTAACAGACCCTTGAAATATATTCACAGGGTGAGGTTGCTTTTTGTGCTGACAAAGTGGATGCACACACTTATCTCCATCACAGCCATCAGACAGAGGAAGTGTTGTGTAGTGTAGGAAAGATCCCATTGTTGCAAGGTCCAGAATATCAGCGTGCCTTTGCTCTTCCAGTTTCGTCACCATTTACAAGAGCTATCGATTTTGGGTAAGAACACTGACATTACTGAACATCATACCAATGGAGGCAGTCACATATAACATAAACATGGCAACTGGCAAACATTCAAGCTACAGGCAATTCAGACATGTTACAACCCTGACAGAAGCAGAGGATTTTTCCTCTAGCCTCTGCATCCAGACCACCTCTGGGGCCCACCCAGCCTCCAATCCAATGGGTACCGGGGTCCTTTCCCGGGGGTAAAGCGTGGCCAAGGCTAGACATGATGCTGACCACTAACCCCTATCTAGTGCTGAGGTTAAGAATGAGTAGGAGCTACACAATCTCTCCCCTCAAGCACCTACATGGCATGTAGCAGGGCAGCTTTACTTTTGTTTTACAACCTGTGCAAGGTTATGCACACTAACTAATGCTGCACGTCTTCAATGTTCATCAAGAACGGCCAAAGTTATATGTAAATTGCATTCTTATGAAGCTCCAAGGATACAGTTGCTTCAGATATTTTGGATCATGACTTATTAATTTATAGTGCTTTGTAGTGTCATTTATTACACACAGTGACCATTTGGAGAATATAGTTGTTACAAATTCTTCCCAGAATTACACGAATCTAAAAAATTAAAAACAGTTAATAGACAACCTTCTTGTTTCCACAGTGAATTAGATACACAGTTCAAGGGTTCCTGCCCCCCTATACATATATATGACCTGAATCTCAACAATCTACTGTTGTTTAAATATGCGTTAAGGCTAAATTATCACAAAAATTTCATCTATACAACTATAATTCAGCCATCTCTAAGCAACATTTGTGTACTGACACATTATGGCTTTGATTATAGTTTAAGTAAATGGAAAGAATTATACAATTACAATGTATGACAGAGAAAAGTAACTTTTAATGTGCAATGATCACACATTCAAGTTCTTTCACAACAGAAAACAAGTGGCATTAACCATACGTGTTTTAACAATGATTTATCCTTGCACAGAAAAATTAAATCAAACTGTATGCTTTTAATTTACTTGTATAAACATTAGGAATAATAAGTATGAATGTGGAAAAGCAGTTGGTAGTTTTCAACACTATAAAGTTTCCTAAGATTACAATAACAAATGCAGTAATGTATGTTATGTGTTAGTCTGATGCGCCTCATCCAGTTTGGTCTAATGGCACGTGAACGTCAACGATGGTTTGAAGTAAAACCACTGTGTGATTCACCTGAGCCTCCTGCAGGAACAAGCTTCATCAGTATAGCACTTGATGACATCTGCCCTGTTCTGTATCTTATTGCTTTTGGACTTGTTTGTTCCTGTGTTATGCTGCCATTTGAGTGCATCGTACATTACTGGTATGTACGAATTTGATTACATATGTCCAGTGGAATACAATTTGAAACTGACTGACCTACATCACAATATTTTTAATTTTGTTTCAGTATAAAGCTATACAGACAGAAGTATGGAAGAAAACAAAAACCTCATTACAAGTGGATAGCAAGGCAGAAAGTAATGAGAATGATGTATGACACTGAAAGTCAACAGCAGACAACTGTGTGGTGGATCTCCAGGGCTTGGCAAAAGTTTCGTCACAGGCTTGCTAATGCACCTTTTCCTTTCATTCATTAGTATGAAGTTTAAATGGAATGACAAAGGAAACCCTGAAGAATTAATTAACCTTCATTGTTCATGTAACACAGTTCACACATGATCCAGCTAGCCTTGTGTTGCACTAGCATACTACTATGTTGTCAAAGCCAGAGTTAAAGTCCAGCCAGCAGCCAAATAATATAGGAATTTAAATCTCTATTCCAGTATAATGATTAAAACAAATAAAAATTTAGGTAAATCTATTTTTCACTATTTATACCTCATTCATTATTATTATTATTATTTGTCTCCATCTTTCCATATTCATCATTCACAATCATCCTGCTATATCTAATTTTTTCCTACATAACCATAGCAACTGATACAGCATCACAAAATAACTAATTTATGTTATAAAATTGTAATATTTCCATAGCAACACTTCTACTCCAGAAATCTATTATTAAGCTGGACTTGTCTGTTATCCATCAGCCCATCAGTGACTGCTATCCATCCTAATGCTACATCCAGCTGTCACACCTGCACTACATTCACTAATTCACCAAGTGCCAATGCTGATGTAATGGTATCACAGTTAAGGTTCAGGAGAGATGAGGAGATCGACAATAGTCTGGGGCACATTACAGGGAAGGATGGGCAAGTACATTTTTTGGACAGTATAACAAGGAGCAAAAGTGACTGAGTGAGTCAATGAAGGGACTTGGCTTGGGAAAAATAACAATTTGCAAATATGGAATTTTCATTGACCTGACATTTATTTTATTAACATTTCACTCTATTTCCCAGAAGCTAAACAGGAATCTCACTTTTCTACAGTTCACATGCTTTTCAGTTTTCACAAAACAAATGCAAGAAACAAAATATATAATTCCCCAAACTTGTATGAAGATTCTGATATGTGATACTCAAGATTTTGACCAATAAGTTCAACTGAAATTCCATAAATTAAGGACACTGTGGTCATACATTTCCAAGATATCTCATCAAAATCATATGAAGATGGAAACAGTGCATGAAACACTTCATCGAAGAAAGTGTCGGTGCAGCCCCAAGAACCATAAAAATTATTTCAGGGCATTTGAGCACTTAAGAGTTAGGTAGGGTGCTTTTACATATAAACGCTTCATATATCAAAATTAAATAAATAAAAGCAGTTTCATGAAGTTCTGGAAGATGACAGAAGGTAAATATAACTTATGAACAACAGACTTAAATGTATGCATATCATTTTTTTTCTCTTAATTTTAAGTATTAATTAATTTGTAATGAGAACTATACCACTGTTTTCATCTAGAATAGAACAATACACATACCACATCCGACTAGAATGTAACAAAATACATGTTCATCTCAATGCATCCATTACAATCCCACTTTCTTTTCAGTATTCTATTTTTAAATGTGGATAAATCTTCAAGTAACATCCTGACACTACCAACTGTCTGTCTAAAAGAAACTCTTAATTTAACAGAATTATAAGTGACAAAATAATCAAGACACCTCTCTCATCCTGCCACAATTTCTATCAAAGCTTGCATTAACAATTACAAATTTTAATTTAGTCTGAAATATTTATTTTATACAAAATTATTGATTCCTATTAAACCATAATCACAATGACAAAATATACATTTCAGGTAATACCTATTCCAGTTCAAATAACTAGAATGTTCCTTATGTTCAGAGTATTAACAATATCGTCATATAAAATTCCTGGTACAGAAATTAATACTGATGCCATTATTTCAAATCAATGTGTACCAATAACCTGAAAAAGTATTAAGTTATAGACATAATTTAAATAAATTCTGTTACAGACTTCATGTCTTATCACATACTTTGAATTAACATAATAACCATTCCAGTAAACATAATTGTATTACTGAAACATTTGTTATGTATAATTACGTGATGGAAACAAGATTTGTAACATCAATCATGTGACATTCTAAACCACTAGTAACTTTATTCTTTACTTAACTGTAATTCTTTCCGTAACTCACATAAGAGTGCTTGAATTTCATTCAGCATTGCTGCAACAAAGAGAAACAACACTGTTAAATAAGCCAGACACACATTATCCAACACTATAAAGACCAGTGACAGTACATATCCATGGCTGCAGTGATAAGATGTTAAACATTAAATGCAAGCACTTTTCCAATCCAGAGACCTAAAGGTATCTAGAATATTTGCGTCAATATATGATGGCACATTAGCATTCTGTTAAAAATAACTGGCATTCATATTTAAGCTTCAATGCACTCAATTTGTCCCTTATTTTATTTATGGCTTACTGAACGACTCTGCATTAGCTCAGACAGTAGTGTTGAATAATAGGATGAATAATGAAGTGGAATGGATATGGAAAGAAGCAGTCATGGCCTAATTTAAGACACTATCCTAGCATTTGCCTAGAGGCTAAGGAAATCCATGAAACCTCTGTCAGGATATCAGGTCTTATGGATAGACATGAAGTTCCAACATGTCTCCTCTTGAATGGTCGCAACTGAAACTTAGTCATAACACAGACTGATAGCATATTTCAGAGTGCACTATAATAAAATAAAAGGAACTGAATGTCAGAATGACCTGCTTTGTTTAATATAACCCTTCAAAATATGAGCCTTCCCTTTCAATGACCTAGTGCATTAACAGTATACTTACAAATTTCTGAGATTTAATATTTGGTTTATTATTAAAATCCAAACCAATGCAGTATCTAAACTGATTTTTGGTAAGAATTTCTTGATTCCTCTAATAACAAATGTATTAAATGTAAGAGTATATTTTCATGTGTAATCAACAAAAAAAGCAAAAAGTATGACATTCAACAACATGATTCAGATAAGTTCAAGTTTCTTAATTTAATAAGTGTTATCCCTCTCATTGAACCACTTCATACATATCACATATCGCTTTAATTATGCCGACGAATAAAATGTCAGTTCTAATGAACTGTTAATAAAAGGCAACAGTTCAGTTTACTGTTTTCCTTTCTTCTCTTTTCAGCATAATGGCGTTTATATACGTTTGACTCGATTATGTCCTTTATTAAAGATTACATTTAATATATTAATAGTGTACTCAAGGGTCTATTGTGAGAATTGCCATAAAACAGAGAAAATGGGTACATATGTATTGATTATTCATGGAAATGAGGCAACAACAGGGAACTGGGCAACAGTAAAGCTGTGGAGCATACTGAAGAAAACAGTACTCACTAAGGCATCTGAATTCCAACATAAGTTCATTATCTTAGTATCAGTTAACAACTCATGACTACTGAAAAATGTAGAAGTCTAACATTTATCCATTCTATATGGAACAGATTTAAATCCCATGTCTTCGCCTGCTGTAGGCCAGTCTCTAGTAATTACTTAAATGTAGACACAAAAAATTAGATTGGCTTGAAAAATAATCTTAATTTTGTTGTAATTTCTTCCCCTCCTCTTTTGTGGAAAAGAAACACCATTGTATTTCCTTACACTTCTGAGTTCGTAGGAAGGATAATTCCAATGCCTGGGTGTGGCCACTTTACTAAGACAACACCATATCTACTAACAGTTACTCTAAAAATCAACAAATCCTCACATTAATTTACTCCATGAAAATTAACAAATCTGGTTGAAGCAAATATAAAATGATAGCCCAGACCTTCATCTCGATGGCTATGTATAACACATGTGGTTCATAGACTATTTCACAGATGGAAACATAAAGAAAGAATTGTCATTTGCATGCAATGTACATTACTTAACATCCATTGCATAGCATTTCACACAGACAGATTGAATGTATGGTATGTCTAAAATTGCCTGTAACAGAAGAAATGTACAGAATATAGTTTACAGGCAATTACAAGTTGGCTACGTCTAGTCATTCCAATAGTGGTCAGATACCAACATGACACCTCCTTTTGACCTGTCAACATGGTGAACATGAAATATGTGGTTATTACCAAATTTGTTTCCTATAACATTCAGTTATGGAACAAACAACTCTTGTTTCTCCCCAGTGACTCAATAAAAAATGGCCCCTTTAATATCAGAAAATACATACACAATGCGTATAGTGTTGGTAAATCCTGGGCCTTGCTTCCAGCCTGTCACAACAACAACAGGATCTCCTGCCTTTATGAAGCCTCGTCCCTTGCCAAATTTGAGACCAAACTGAACTCTTGCATCCACATCTTTCAGCCAGTCAGGCAGAGTACCCTCTGTAATAAATATATGACTGATAAGCTAATCACTATGTATTTTTCTACTTTTAAAAGCTTGTAAATTGGTAGAAATGAGTAAAAAAAAGAAATGGTATGAACATAACCAAAGCCAACCAAGATAAATCAAATTTAATAAAGTTCCTATACTATGAAACAATAAATTATGACAGACCAGAACATACAACAAACGTGACATCACACTCAGAAAAGGAACACGTTTACTAACTCACATTTCTAGACCAACTGACAAGATTGTAATGGAGGGGAAATTTTACAATACAAAAACTTAGGGAATGAAATTCAGCTCATGTGGAATGTGAAGGCAACAGTGATACTGATAATTACTGGTGTAACTGGAAGCATATCACTATAATTTCAAAAGCAGTAAGACATCCCTGGTAAATATTCCAGCATGGAATTATAAGTCAGAAATTCTTGAGGAATATACAAACATTGCTGGGATACTGGGACCGACCCATTCTTCAAGTTCCTGAGCACTGCAGGTCCCAACTTTTCGTTGGCTCGATCTACAGACATTCGGTAGGACTCCTTGGACGAGGGATCGGCCCGTCACAAGGTCTCTACCTGTACAAAGGACAGCACAACACAGAAAAAAGGGGACAAACATCCATGGCTTGAGTGGGATTCAAACCCACGGTCCCAGTGACCAAGAGGCATAAGGCCCAAGCCTCAGACCGTGTGGCCACTACAGACCCCCACAAACATTGCACTTTTCAAATGTATTTTCCAGAACCTACAAAGTAAAAAGAATGGTGGAAAAGATGTCAGGTAACAAGTAACATGGTGTGATAATGACAATGATGACGATGATGACTTATATGAAACACATTTACTGTTGTCAGCAATTGTAAACTGAAGTTGGATGAAATTGTAACATTAATAAGGGAAGATCTGTGAGAACTGGATATCTGTACAATAGGGAAGCATACTTTAGTTCTGTCCAACTTCTTGGTATACTCAACACAATCAAATCAGAATATGGTTTTAGTAGTAACATTGACATTTGTACTAGTGGAAATTATGATCAGAAATTGCAAGTAGTTTAATTATTAGTTTAGAGTTAGTATTAACCACACCACAAAGTACATAAAAGGAAAGTAGGGAACATGTTCTATCCAAATTTCTCACCTATAAAATGGTACATAGAAAAACTAAGAGATGTTATCTAAATAAAGAATAGTGCTTCTCAATTCAGTGACCATCACAGAGCCATTTGTGCAACACCAGTCTGGTAATAATATACCCAATTACTGTTAACAAAAACCATGTTTGCTTAAATGTCATGTTTGTCAGATCATTTACTTGGTACAAAGATGTCTATGAGCAAATATCAGTTCAAGAATGAATACCTGTGTAACAAAGAGGAAGAATGGCTCTGAAGAGATGGGACTGTCGAGCAACTTGCGCATATCGAGTTACTGCGATGATGGGACACCTTGGGCGGTATTTAGAGATGAGATGAGCTGAACGACCAGATGTTGTTATAACAATGATTGCTGCAGCCAGGCACTTGGCTGATGCTTCTACTGAAGCAATTGCAATGGTGTGAGCTACATCTATTGGTGGAAGTGCCTGTTAACAGAATACAGGTGGAAATAAGAAAAAAAATACCCTTCAATTATGTTCAATACTTAAATGGTAATGTCAATGCTTGCAGTAAGGATGGTTTAATAAATAGTATCTGGTAAGTCCAGTGCTTTCAAACTGGGGACAATAAGAAAAGGAATATACAAAGTGAGTAAAAAGAAGGAACTTTATTTATTCCCATGCCTTACCTGGGTACTCAGTTCCTGGAACAACTGTCTTTGCCAGATGGCAGCTTCTGCTTCTTTACAGATGTTTGCCATTGTGAGGACACACTCAAGAGGATAATCACCTTTAGCTGTTTCGCCAGACAACATCACACAATCAGCACCATCCAGAATGGCATTTGCTACATCTGAACCCTCAGCTCGGGTAGGACGTGGCTTCTTTACCATTGATTCCAGCATCTGCGTGGCACAGATAACTGGTTTTCCCACCTAAAAGGAATAAACTAAAATATATTAAAGTACGGTAAATCTGATGCTGAAATCCCTGATCATTCTTTAAAAAAAGTTTATATCACTTGAAAATTTCCCTTGAAAATTTCTTAAGAGAAATAGACTGCAAATCCTAAGATGACAAATTACCTTCCAAATAAATAAAAAAAATCAATGTACAAGCCACACACAAAACCAGGGTCTCCTTCACTTCAGGCAGATTCTTTACCAATGTACTATAAAAATGACACACGATAAAAAGGATCATTACACAAATGATTGTGGAAGTCTGGGTTTGTAACTATATTTTTCAAAATCCTTTGCCATACTGGGAATTGAATACTGGTTCTCTAGTCCTCAGTCAGACACTATAATGACTGGGCTATGCCAGTTCTTTTCCTGGCAGATATTGCCAACAAATTTCTGATGTGGAAGGTTTCAAAATGCATAAAAAAACTTTTCTACATGCTAAGATTTTATAATACATAATATGTTAATAACATCCTAAAATGGTAAAATGTGGCCACCACATTCAGCAGGTTCTTGTGATATATATTTTGTACCCAAAATAATATTTATGCAATGTAATGCTAGTGCACATGTCAAAAATATACAAACACAGGAAATATTGTAACACACAAAATAACAAACTTCATTGATAAACTACTAATGACTTTTCTTAGTTAAAAGATACATAAATTCAAAACTTTACCTTGTTGCACCGTGCAATCATTGCCTTCTGTGCCAGAAACACTTTCTCAGGAGGTATCTCAATACCTAGATCACCACGAGCCACCATAATACCATCTGAAGCTTTAATTATCTGATCTAGGTTCACCATACCTTGATGGTTCTCAATCTTAGAAATTATGAGAATGTTCTTTCCCTCTTCACCTACACAACAGAATTCCATTTTCCATTACTGCACCATCAATGTAATTAAACATAAAATACCGAACTTAAAATTACTAACAACCTTAATCTCATAAACAAAACATTTTTAGACTTCTGACAACATATTCTTGCCACTTTATACCCTTGCAATGCAATACAGTCTGATCTACCACCAACATCATTAAATAAACTGTAAAATAAATAAAAGCCATAACTGATGTTCCATCTGTGCAACATGTTAACAGAACTTTCATTTCAAGGCTTTTATTTTTAAATTGACTATTTATAACTTCAGTAGCAAATTACGTGATAACCATTTAAAATTGCCAATACCAATGATGATATATCTTTGGCTGAGTGGACACAATTTGCATGTAGATCTTTGTGTGAATTTCTTCACTGCAATCACACTCATCGCCACAGCCTCCCCAGTTTAGGAGTTCTACCATTCGCTTGGTATCATCCATATAAAACACTTATGGGAATCCTGGGAGCTGGGTTGCAAGACTGAATGACACATGTAACATGTAAATATGGAAAATAACTCTAAAAAGAGACTTCAAATTTGTATCTGTAGATTCATTACACTGAACTCAATTTTCTGATTTATTTTTATGACCAGATTTTGTATCCACTTTTAATGAAGAGAGTAATGAAGAGAGTAATGCATGGTATCACTGCAGCATAGTTACATTATTTAAAATCAACAGGTTTACTGAATCTTACAAACAATACTGTCTCAATATATTCTTGGATTCAATAAATCTCCAAATTTCAACCACACTGCTCAGTGATTATAAATATACAGACCAGGTCCAAGTGTATGTCAGTTCTCCATCAATACAGAGACAACACAGGCCTTCAAATGCTGGCAAACCAACCCACCAATGTGTTCCTATACAAAATCAGCAACATATTTCAATGAGAAAAGTATTTATAAAAAATACTTAAAAAATTCTGTCACCCCATACCAAAATTATTTCACTGGGAACAAATAAATTGTACTTTATCTATCAATGTTTTGTTATATTTTAAATAATAAATATTCCACTTCTATCTGAATAACCATAGTAATTAGAAATATATGGAGCATTACAAAACAATTGAAAAAACATGTTTTTAAATATACCCAAAATTCCACGAATTTCTTGAAGGGCTGCTGCATCACGGATGAAAGAAGCAAATATCATGTCCACGTCCTGTTCAACACCAAATCTAAGATCTGATTTATCCTTCTCAGACACTGCAGGCAAGTCCACAGGCACTCCTGGAAGATTTACACCCTTCCTGCTGCCCAGCAATCCACCATTCTCCACAGTGCATGCCAACTCTGAAGGACCTGTGTCAGATACAACCCATATGATAACTCTGCATTTAGTGAAAGAACCATTAAATGGCCCAACTCTTGACAAGAACGAAACATCTTCTGTCAATGCTCATAAGCACTGCAGGCAGTTTAAAAGCAGCCTGAATGTCCTATCCTGAAAGTATTAAATTTTGAGAGAACTGAAGTAATTTAGGTGATCAATATCAAGTTGGGCTTCTTCTGCAATATAGCACCATGCAATCTGGTAGGTATTAACTGATGTTTCAGAGTAGCTTATTGCCTCCATCACATTTCTCCAAAACACTAGTACCTATACAGTGAAACCTCGATGCATCGTTTTCGGCGGGGGTGGGAAATAAAAACGATGAATGCGGGAAAACAATAGATGCGGGAAAGCATTAATAATTTAAAAAAAACAATGTTTCTCTTTCAAAGTTACTTCTTTTTACCAAAAAAGTCTTTAATGGTCAACTGGTTTGTCGAAACTTTACGTTTTAGACCAAACAGAGCACTTTCCACGTTCAAAAT